CAGGGCACTGCCCTAGCAGTGAACATCCATGCAGGACAGTGTCTGGGCCCGGCTGTAAGTCCAGGTACTTGGACAAGACAGTCTGTTGTGCTAGGCCTGCAGGTGTGTGGGGTGGCCATGTCTCTGGAGGGGGCTCCCTATGACTTCTGACAGGCCAGGGGGCCCACTCAGGAGCACTAGGATCTTCTCGGGTAGAAGTTGTGACCCCTATTTTTTTTTTTTTTGAGACAGAGTCTCGCTTTGCCACCCCGGGTAGAGTGCAGTGGCATCATCCTAGCTCACAGCAACCTCAAACTGCTGGGCTCAAGCAATCCTCCTGCTTCAGCCTCCTGAGTAGCTGGGACTACAGGTGCATGTCACCATGCCCAGCTAATTTTTTCTATTTTTTGTAGAGATGGGGTCTCGCTCTTGCTTAAGCTCGTCTCGAACTCCTGGCCTCAAGCAATCTTCCCGCCTCAGCCTCCCAAAGTGCTGGGATTACAGGCCTGAGCTACCACACCTGGCCTGTGACCACTCTTGATTACTCTCCAACAGTTTTTTTTTTTTTTTCCTTACTAAAATGCGTCTTCGTGCACTATCTCCAACAGTTTTAGCCTTGGATCAGAAGAGTCCCCCAGGATCCCTCACCTCTGGCAGGGAATGTGAGGGGGGACGGAAGAGTGGAGGGGGTTACTGGGAAATCAGTGAAGTTGAAAAACTATGACATGCTTCCTGTTCCCCAACCTAGCAGATGCCCTCAGACTCCCAGAAGCCTCAAGCCCCAGCAGCTTGGTGCAGACACGGGCTTTCCTCTGCCGACTGGCGGGGCTGGGGAAGAGGGGGTTTCCATTGGAAACTCCATGGCTTCCCCTGTGAGATGACCAACCCCCCTACAACAGGTCCGCAGCTTCACAGCTCTCCTGCCCTTGTTGGCTGGGTCCTGGTTTGGAAGGATCTGCTTCTCCTGCCCCATCTCCCATAATCAGGAAGGGGGTGATCGTGGCAAAGTGGCTGACATGCCTCATCTCCTGGGTGTAAGGCAGCAGGAGAGGCCAGGTCTAGCCCTGCCCTGGGCTCTAGAGGCAGCAGCAGGTAGAGCTGGATGGTGGGCCCTCTCGGGAGCTGAAATCTTCCTTTCTCTAGTAAGTCCAGACTGATTTATGGAGTCAAGATCTGTCCTGCCTGGCCCCAGCACCAATTGGTTAGGTCCCCACCCCTTGTCTCTAACTCACCACTGTCACGGAACCAATTTTTTTTTTTTTTTTTTTTTAAGAGACAGTATCTTGCTCTGTCACCCAGGCTGGAATGTCAGTGGTGCAGTCCTAGCTTACTGCAGCCTAGAACTCCTGGGCACAAGCAAAGTGATCCTCCTGCCTCAGCCTCTGGAGAAGCTAGGACTATACGCGTGTGCCACCATGCCTAGCTAGATCACAGAAGCACTTTTTTTTTTGAGGCAGAGTCTCGCCGTGTTGCCCGGGCTAAAGTGCCGTGGCATCATCCTAGCTCACAGCAACCTCAAACTCCTGGGCTCAAGCGATCCTACTGCCTCAGCCTCCCGAGTAGCTGGGACTACAGGCATGTGCCACCATGCCCGGCTAATTTTTTTCTATATATTTTTAGTTGTCCGATTAATTTCTTTCTAATTTTAGTAGAGACGGGGTCTCGCTCTTGCTCAGGCTGGTCTCGAACTCCTGAGCTCAAACAATCCGGCCGCCTTGGCCTCCCAAAGTGCTAGGATTACAGGAGTGAGCCACCGCGCCCGGCCGAACCACTTCTGATTATATATCCATTCTCTGCCTCTGAGCCCCTGCCTGAATTCTTTCAGAGCCTGCACAGGTAAGGGTGTGTATATGGAATCTCTTCGGCCTTTCCTCCTTTCATAGACTTGCTCCAAACAGGGTATATAATTAAGACTTCTTAAATAACTGTGAGCTAGAATTGGCGAATTGAAATTCTGCTTGGGTATGACTCTGAATTCTCTGGGACAGAAGTGATGCCACCTCCACTGGAAAAAAAGAACACCCACCAAGGAAGAGGTGCCCACAGACACCCCTTCTGATGCGTTCCTCCTGTGTCTCTGTGCAAGCCACTGCACTGGCTTCTCAGGACGCCCCCACCTGCCAGAATGGAACGTGGCAAATGGCAGATGCTCTAGCTGAACCGTGGGCTGGAGGGGGAACACTGGAAACCCCGCTTTCCCTTGCCCACCAGGTGACAGGCTCCAGAGCCCCCAGGCGCTTACCTCTGAGTGTCGGAGATGCACCACCAGGCCCAGGCCCAGCCGCCAAACACGTACTGTTTATAGTCGGAACCACAACAGCCCCCTGGGGAGCAAAGCAAACCACTGCTGGTCAGTCAGTTCTGGGGTTTGTCTACTCCCCGTCCCTCTGACAGCAACTTTGGCCCTTTTACCTGCTCTGAGGCTTGACAACTCCTACTGTTGGGTGTCAGGTGCTGAGGTTACACATAAATGGGAGACAAGCTCTCCCTGCCCTTAAGGGACTTAGAATCCAGTTTGGCAGACAGGCAATTTGCATAAAAAGAAGGATGGCGAATGAATAGTTCAGAACATAAGTGCTGCCAGAGACCAGAACAGGTCATCGGGCAGGGGTGGTTTGGAAGAGCTTCCATTTTTCGTTCAAGCATTCATTCATTCATCATTCAACAAACAGGTAGAGTATTCTGTGCTAGAGATACAGAGATGAATACATAATTCCTATCTCGAAGCAGGTGAGACTAGGAGGAGGAACCTTTTTCTGGGATGAGATAATAGCGTGCGGTTTGCCTGCTCTCACGGTGGGCGCAGACAGAGAGGGGATGCAGAGGGAGGGCGACATCGTGGGGCTGGTGGGAGGGCAAGCGAGTCTTTGAGCTGGGGTGGGCGCCTTGCTGTGCCGGGCAGACACATCTCAGTGAGGCTGGTTCTCTACTGCCAGACCCTTCAGAGTGACTTTTTTCCTCTTGTGGGAATGGGTGGCAAAGGGAAGTCTTCAAAACAAAGGCCAAGTCGTGGTACTAATAGGAGTAGTGTAGCGAAAGGGAAAAGGCCTAAAAAGGAAGTGGTTCTTGGGAACTGTGTCAACTAAACAGAATATCTAATTCGGCTATAACCCAGATTTATGCTGTGGACATGTTCAGCACGTTCTCTATACGGAAACAAGAAAAATCAATTCCTGAAATTCTTTTTTTTTTTTTTTTTTTTGAGACAGAGTCTCACCGTGTTGCCCGGGCTAGAGTGCCGTGGTGTCATCCTAGCTCACAGCAACCTCAAACTCCTGGGCTCAAGCGATCCTCCTACCTCAGCCTCCCAAGTAGCTGGGACTACAGGCATGCGCCACCATGCCCGGCTAATTTTTTTTTCTATATATTTTCAGTTGTCCAATTAATTTCTTTCTATTTTTAGTAGAGATGGGGTCTCGCTCTTGCTCAGGCTGGTTTCGAACTCCTGAGCTCAAACAATCCGCCCACCTCGGCCTCCCAGAGAGCTAGGATTACAGGCGTGAGCCATCCTGAAATTCTTATAGTGATCACTCCTGTTAATGCCAAAATTACTCACCAAGTTCAAGGAAACATTAATAAAAACTGGAGAGGCGGCTGACTTGCAGTGCAAAGCAATCTACAGAAAACGGATGATTGGAAGGAAACGTGACTTGGGAAAAAGCCAGAGGGTGTTATCATTTCTATGTTCACAAACTTGTATTTTCGTGAAAATCTCAGGATGTTTGCCTCCCAAGGTCAAGGGTCTGGGGTGGTTTTGCGTAGCTGGGTTACAGTGACCCTGAGGGCAGAGCACAGAGTGTCTTCTGTGTCAGGCCAAGGAGCTGTGTGTGAGGGATGGGGGGGGCCACACAGGGATTTAAGATAGGAGTGTCAAGGCTACATTTTGGAAACAAATACCGCTTTGCACAAGGAGGAAGAGACTAGGGTCAGGGAGATGGGGTAGAAGCCTGTTGCAGGAACCCAAGTAAGGCACAGCGGCTGATGTAAGGGGATAACTTCTAGAGCAGTCTTGTCCAAGAGAACTTTCTTTGGGGGTAGAAATGTCCTGTATCTACGTGGCTGTGCAGCATAGCAGCCACTGGTCACACGCTGCTATTGCACACTTCACATGTGACTGGCATAACTGAGGAACTGAATTCTTAATTACTTTAAATTTCAATAGCCATTGATGGCTAGTGGCCACCACATGGGACAGTGCAGCTCTAGAGTCTGGGTTTGGGTAGGTGGTGAGGCCAACAACCAAAACAGAGACATTGGAGAGAAAAGCAAACTGGGGACAAGTTTTTGATGGGTGGAAAAAAGGAAAAAAGATCCGCCCTGCCCCACTCCCATTGGAGAGGGCTTGAAAGGTTGGAGAGCTGACTGCTACCGTGTATGGAGTGCTAGCAGCCAAGCGAGAGGTCCAGGGATAGAAGCACAGCCCCACAATGTAGTCAGGCGCAAGAAGGAGTCTTAGGTCTGCCTGTTCTCCGAGGTGGAAATACCTGCCCACAGGGCTGCTGTTCAAGACAAGCTATTAACAGGCTTCTCTTCCCTGGGAGGTGGGGTGGGGAAGCCTCTGAGGACAAGCAGTCAATCTGAAACCCAAACTGTCTTGGGATCAAGTGAAAGTGGAAGAGGGCCAAAAATCACAGCTTGTTCTACATCTTCTGGCCTGGCTGGGGCTGGGGCATGGCTGCCTCCGGCCAGCTCCAGGGCGCTTCTCAATGGGCTGTGGGAGGAGGTAGCAGTGGTGGAGTGGGATAGGGGGCGGGGGGAACAAGGTAGGTGTTCACCCTTTACCTTTAACTTATTCTTTGACCTTGGGAGCAGGCTGCCACAGCTCAAACTGGACCTTGGCCAAGGGCAACATGCCCAGGTTCCCAGGGGTAGCAACAACAGGAAGCTGGGACTGCCAGATTGCCCCGCCCCTAGCAGCCTCCTGCCCTGCAAGGCATCTGTCTGCCAGCTTCCTGATCACTAGCAGCGGAGCACCTCTCCCAAAAGGACAGTTAGGTGCTTATTCCTTGACCTCCTTAGGGAAATTTCTCCTAATTTTATTTCACTCTTTCTAACCCAACTGGTTCCTCCCTTGCTCTGTCCTCAATCAAGCGGAAGAACCTCAAATACCCCATGATAACCTCTACTCCAGCCTCTTAGCCCCTCCCCAGACACAGCGCACTGATCTGCCCTCTCAGGAGTACTCCCTGCCCTTCCTGTTCCTCCTCCACCTTCTTCCTACTAGTCAAGAAGACCATATCCTACAAGGGGGTTTTAGCCTTTTTTGAACCACAACCCTTTAGTAGTCCGGCAATGCCTAAAGACCCCTCCTCAGAATGTTTATAAACGTATAAAATACATAAGAAATTATACTGAGTTATCAAAATGTTAAAATAATCAAATGTGCAACATAGTAATATGTGCTTCTTTATTAACACATTAAGTAATAAGATCTAGCAGTAGATTTCATCACTAGCTTAATTTCAAAGTAGTGTTGAGCATAAATGATTTCCAAGGTACCTGCAACACTGCAGTGTGGTAGGAAAATATCTGCTAATACTATCATGGATCGCTGCCAATACTCACAACCAGAGGAAATACTAAATTTCAGTTTAGGTTAGTGGAAATAAAAATGTACTCCCTCACCCTTCCCCAAAACAAAAAGGATTTCCCTTTTAAATTTTCAAAAGTAGAGAGAAAAACGTTTTATGTCACAGAATGAAGGAGGGAGGTCAGACAGTAAGAAGAGATAGGAAAGATGACCATGAGATGTAGGACCACCCACCAGAGGGTGAGATGCCTCTGGACTTCAATGCCAAGGAACAAGGTAGACAGGTGGGGCAGCGCTGGGAGCAGCTGCTCTGCACTCTTGGGAGTCCACATGCAAGAAGGAGCTGCATCTCGGCTTGATCATCTCAAATCCCAAGGTACTATTATGCCAGGAATTATCCCTCCATCTCCTGCCCTCCGGCACCCTCAGTTCTCAGCATGACCTCCTCTCTGCACCCCTAAAACAACTTTGAAGCTAGCACTGGTCATGGAAAGGCACAGAGCAGCCCCGCTCAGGGGCTCTTCTCACTACTCAGTCTCAAGACTTTCTGCAGGGACAGAATTGGAGCTTTTGTCTCCCCAGCCCAGTCTGGGCTTCCTGAAGGAAATTCCACAAGAAAAAGTTCGGTGCAGATTTGGGTTTCTAAAAGCCTCCTGTCATGGTGGGGGCTGGAAGACAGGTCCAGGTCTTATAGAAGAGCAAGTATGGCCTCAGTGCTCTCTGGGGGTCTCTCTCCTGACCCTAACACTATCTCTGGTCTTCAAGGGGGTGAGGTATCTTATCTCCCCCACAGTGGGGATGTCCCAGTGTGACTGATTTTGAGATCCAAAGACCATGTTTCGGGGAGAAAGTTCCAGTGGATTTATCACACCTCCCCAGGGTGGGCAGCTATAAGCCGTGGCTCAGGGCTTCTACTTGCTTCTATCTCTTGGCTAGCCAGTGCTACCAACTGTGCACACAGGCTGAAAATCAGCACTTGACAGTGGGAAGTAAGACATGAGGGAATCCTGTAGCTCCAGGATTCCAAGCTGTCAGGCAACACCGCCCCCTCCCCAGGACCTGGGAGCCAGGAGCTGCACACCCTGGTGGCTGGAAAGGTTTCAGCCACCTCCCAAGAAACCCCAAATACACAATCTAAATAGCAGCCTCTCTTTCCCAATGCTGCAGTCCCCAAGCCCCACCTAGAGAGAAATTCCGGAGCTTGCAGCATTTTGCAACCCGGAGCTGGGTTTCCCAACCTGTAGAGGCCGCACCCGCGTCTCCAGGGCGGGCAATGCCAGTAAACCCCAGTGAGCCCCAGCCTGCTCGGAATTAACGGGTCTGATGGTGCCTAGAGAAAGGATGCACGTCTCGGGGCCATTCTCCATACAGGAACCTGCCCTCCAGAACTGCGCGACCCACCCCCAGTCCTGAGCGCTGGAACCCAGCCAAACCTCTGCGTTGTGGGAACCACCAGTCCCCTCCCTCCCGGAAGCCCACGGCTTCTGTTCTGGACCCCCTAAGCCCGCGGCGCAGCGGAGGGGAGGCCCTGCCTAGGGAGGAGGAGGAGAGAGAAGGGCATAAACACGGGAAAACACGCAGTGGGAGGGGAGTGCCTGGAGGGTGCCGGAGGGCGCGGAGCACGGAAAGCGTGAGTACGGGGGTTTCTCCTGGAAGGGGTTTCAGGTGCGGCCCCGGGGCCAGCGTCCTGCGCAGCGCTATGGACTCCGCCCGGCACGCAGCGCCCCCACCTCATCCCTCCACCCGCTGAACCCTTCGCCAGCCCAGCCCTTCCTCGTGCCCTCCCCAGCCCTGCACCCACCCCGAAGCACCCTCCCCAGCCCTGGGCGCCCCAGCACCCACCTCTCTCGCTGCCCCCTCACCTGAAACCACCAGTGCCTCGTTGGGCCCCACCGTGTGGCAATTGCCCATGGCGCCCGCAAGACGGAGGGCCCTGGGGACCGCACAGACCTGGACAGCAGCAGCGGGTCCGCAGCGCCGGCCGCGCCCAGCCTATCCCGCCACCCCCAGCGCCGCCCGCCCGCGCCCCTCTGTGGTCGCAGCCCCGCCGGAAGTGTGGCGGCGGAGGGCGGGGCCGGCATGTTGAGAGAGGCAGGAGCGAGCGCAGCCTCGGCAGTCAACGCGCTTTATTACGAGGGGCTCCCGATTGCGGGGTCCAGCTCTAAGGCACCCCAGGAGGCGTCCCCCCTACTCTCACGGGGCGCCTCGATAACAACCGCCCAGCCCTGACTCACCGCCCACCTCCCAGCAGTCGGCCCTGGCCTCAGACCCCTGGGTTCCAGTCCCAGTCTCTGCTCCTACTGGCTGTGAGACCTTGGGTGAGTCCCTTACCTCTGGAGCCTAATCCCGCCTCGGTAAAATGGGGGTAATTTAACTACCTAGCTAGATGGTTGCAAAGGGCTCCGTTCGGTAATTCTCAATGTTGGCAGTGCATCAAACAAATTCCCAGGCCCTGCTCCAGAGCTGATCAGAATCACCGAGGGTGGGGCCTGGAAATCCGAAATTCAGATTCCTGACAAGCACAGTGTCTGGCACCTTAGCCTCCACCCCTCCATCTGGGCTTACTGTCACTCTCGGGAAGAAATAATCACCCATTATTCCTTCAACCAGGAAAAGAACTATCCAGGACACAACTTGGGGCCAGAAAGTAACCATAGAGGTAAAAACTGCAAACTCCTCAGTGCCCAGGGCATGACACACAGCTGAGGTTTTCAAGGGCCACCAAGTGCCACCAATAACATCCTGGCCTGGGGGTTAGGAGACTTGGGTCTCAGGCTCAGCTTTCACCTGAATTCGGCGTATCACCTTAGACAATTCTGGTGAGCTCTGAGGGCTGGGGTCAGGTTCAGAAACTGTGGGCTCCTCAGGGTTGGGGGTCCTCAGTGAGGATGGGACCCCTGGGTCCTCAGGCTGGGGGTCTTCATTGGGCTCGGCATCCTCCGCAGGCCCAAGCCCTGCTAGCCTCCTGCTGGCCTCCCACAGGCGGTGGGCTGCCCGGTCATCTCGGGCAGCTGGGGGCACCTCCTCCACACGGCAGTTGGCAAAGTATCTCCCACTGAGGGGCTCGATGCCCTCCTGTAGAGCACAGTACAAGGGTGTCTGGGCACCCCCCCTTGGCGCCCGGAGTATCAGCCAAGCCAGCGGGCGCAAAAGTGGGCGCAGCCATCCAGGAACATGGCGCAGGAACAGCTCCGAGTTCACAGGCCCTGTGGGCAGGAAGAAAGAAAGGAGTTGGAGAGGATGGTGGGTGAGGGCCCAGAGTATGAGCAACTAGAAGGGAACAGAGCTAGAAGGGATGTGGGGGACAGAATCCAGGTCCAGGGAAACCAGGAGTATTTCCTAGGCACTCAGGGCCCCCACAAGGTGACTTCACTCATTTCCTACATGCAGCCTCCTCTCTGCATCCAAACGGCTTGTACATCCCCATCTTCCAGATTTTGGTCATGCTGCTTCCTGCCCGAAACAATTCTCTAGTCTCTCTTCGTCTTTTCTTCTAGCTTGATTCCTGTTCCTTTGTTTAACCAGCATTTATTAAGCATCTATGATATACCAGCCACTGTTCTTGGACATTAGGGATATGGAATGTAATAAACGCTTAATAAAGGTTAGTTTGTGATTATTATTATTGTCACTATTATAATTACTAATGAGCCTTAGGCAACGACTCTCTAATATGCAGTATGGTAATATGGGTAGAGCACATCTTATTATCCTGGTGTAACCTATTCCCTAAACGCAAGGATGAGTCTATTCACCAGTTATCACAGTCAGAGTAAAAGCCAAAATGCTTACAGTGAACCGCCAAACCCTGTGAGACCCAGCACATCTCTATGACCTCATTTCTTGCCACTCTCCCCCATCACTCAGTTCCAAGCCATACCGGCCTTTCTCAAGCACACCAGGAACTTCTGCCTCAGGGCCTTTGCACTTGGCTGTTCTCTGTCTGGGTATCTCCCCAGTAAGCAACATATCTTTCAGGCCTCTGTTCAAATGCCACCCTTACAGATATGTCTTCTTTGACTGCCACTGATAAAATAGTACCTCCTGGCATTCCATATTCCCCTTACCCTGTTTCATCTTTTCTCATAGCACTTTATCACCACCTGTCATTGTATATATTTATTTGTTGGCTGTCTCTCCTTCCCCTAAACTAGAATGCAAATTCTATGACAATAGGGTCATTGGTCACTGCAAGTAATGCCTGATATGTAGTAGGTACTCAGTAAATGCTTCTTGGATGAATGCATAATTATTAGCTATCATCATCATAATATTATAGTCAGTTTAGTCAGTATTGATGGCTCCTGGGGGTGAGAATCTGGGTCTTGTTCATTGCCATACCCCACCCAGAGGCCAGCATCCCAGCTTGTGGTGTGAGAGGAAGAACCTAGACAAGGAGAGCCTGGTTCCAAGATCAGCAAGGAACAGGCCTCTGCTTGGACCATGCTTCCTTTCTGTTCTGAGATTCTGTGACTCACTGAGAGGCTGGGGAAGCCCAGGATGAGGCAGGGATGGGAGAGGGGGATCAAGAGCAGCCAGAGAACCAGGCCTCACCTGGATGCGCTGCATAGCAGGTGACGCCAGTGCCCTCGAGCTGGGTGGCAAGCTCCCGGGCAAACAGCACGTTGGCCAGCTTACTGTCAGCATACGCCCGCAGCTCCTGCTGCCAGCCCACTACTGGGCGGTCTAGGCGTTTAAAGTCGAGGCGCCCACGCCGATGGGCAGCTGAGGAGACCACCACCACACGGCTAGGGGCACAAGTCTTCAGGCGGGGCAACAGCAGATGGGTCAGCAGAAAGGGACCGATGTGGTTCACCCGAAGCAGCAGGTTAAAGGCCTCGCGGGTCCGGCCACAGGAACTGATCCCTGGGGCAGGGGCTAGGAGTGAGCAGATCCTCCGGAAGGAGCCCTGTGTCCTCCCCATCTGTGAGATGGGAGTAGGGGGCATCCTTCCCATGAGTCCACTGGCCCCTGGCAGGGCCTGGTTGGAGCGGGCAGCTGCCCCTGGCCACCCACCACCCCCCTGCAGGGAGGGCCTGCTGCCCCTCACCGGCGTTGTGGATGAGGATGTCCAACCGTGGCTCAGAGCTCAGGAAGGCAGCAGCAAAGGCCTGCACCGAGGCCAGACTGGCCAAGTCCAAGGCCATGAAGATGACCTCATTGTTCCCACTCTCCTGTGGAGCGGCAAGGGCTGGGCTTGTCACCAGGCACCTCCCTCCTCTTCCCTCTCCCCAGGCACCAAATTGTGAGAGTCCATCTCCAACTATTGCTAAAATATCCGCCTGTGCATTAGAGTGTAGTGGATAAATGTACAGCTTCAAATCCTGACTTTGCCTCTTACTGAAGGGTGACCTTGAGAAGATACATAATCTCTCTGGGCCTCAGTTCTTTTACTGTAGAATGGGAATAATAGTAATAGTACCTATCTCATAGAGCTGTTGTGAGGATTGAACGAGTTAATATAAGTAAAATACATGCAGTCAGCACTGTGCAGGTACTTGCTATTATTATCAATAGCATCCCCTCTCCCCTTTATCACTTACTGGAAAATCTATAACAACTTCTCATTGGCCTCCTTTCACCCACTCCTCCCTCTCCAGTCCAGGCAACACACAGCCACAAAGGAGTTGTTCCAAAAGGCTACTCTAACAGTCCAGAGCCTATTCTAACAGTAAGGACCCTTTACTGATCTCTGCTGCCAGTCTTATAAAATCCAAGCTTCTCAGTAGGATGTGTAAGGGCCTGCAGAACCCGGCCCTGGCTCAAAGCCTCCAGCCCTTCATTTTGCCCCTCCTCCTACTTTGTGCTCCAGCCTCATTAAACCTTTCTCTCAGCTTCTCAAATCAGTCCACCTCTCTTGCCTCAGGGCTTTCGCATATGCTGTTCCCTCTGCTATTCCTTTCCCCACTGTTCTTCATAAACTTAATTCCTATTAGTCCTAAACTAAACGTCTTAGAACAGCAATTATTACCTTCGGGACGCCTCCTCCCCAGCTTGGTTCTGGCGCCCCCTTCCCTGTGTGACCGGAGCATTCTGTGCACCCCCTCTTCTGTACTTAACGAACCGAGCCGCACTCTCTTTTCTGGAACTGGATCTCCCGGAACCGCTTTGCTCGTCCCTCTGTGTCGCGGTGAGTCCTCAGCTCACCGTCCCAGCCGCCCCCGCCTTCCCTCACCTGGCGGATGTCGAAGGCGGCCGCCTCCCCGCGCTCCCGGCTGCGGCAGGCCAGCACCACGCGAGCTCCCCGGCGCGCCAGCTCCAGCGCCGTCATCTTCCCGATGCCGCTGTTGGCGCCTGCGGGCGGCGGGCGGGAGCCGAGCTGAGCTGAGCCCAGCGGGCCGCCGCCCCCGCCGCCCCCGGCTCCCGCCGCCCGCCCTCCCGCACTCACCCGTGACCACGGCCGTGCGGCCCCGCAGGTTGCTGATGCCGCCGCACGGCGGGGCCTTCACCAGGTTGTAGTAGACGAGCACGTAGGCGCCCAGCAGCAACCCCACGCCCAGCAGCAGCGCCTCCATGCCGGCTGCGCCTCCCGGCTCCCGCCCAGGCCCCGCGTCGCCCTGGATTGCCGCCCAGCGGCTGCCGATCCGCGCCGCACAGGCCTGGAAGGGCGCCGGGCGCGCGCGGCCTCCCGTAGGCGGGGGCGGACAGGAGGCTGGGCAGGGGTGTATGCGTGCGTGTGCGTGTGGGCCCGGCGAGCGCCCCCTAGGCCAGCGTCTGCGTCCTGTGGGTGCGTGCCTGTGTGGACACCTTCGAGGCGCGGGTGGCATCTGGGCCCTGGAAGCGCCCCCTACGTGTGTGCCTGTGGGAACTCCTTCTAGGCGTGCGCGCACCCACGGGCCCGCTAAGTATGTGCCTGCATTTGCGACGTGTGTGTGTGAATGACCTCGAGGTGTGCATGTGCTAGGGGCCCTAGGATCACCCTCCGTTTGTGTGTGTACGCTCCTGTAAACACCTTTTAGGTGTTTGTGCGCATTAGGGCAGAGCCCTTCCAGAGGTGTGCATGCATCGGTAGTCTCTGCGAGTGTGTGTGCTTGAATGAACAGCTCCGTGTGCTTACTCTAGGTGTGAGTATGTAGTACAGTCCCTCCCTTCTGGAGACGTGATACTCTTGTGTCTGAGTCAGTCCACTCCTAGATGCTTTTCTCTCAATGAACAAATCCGTCAATGCCTTATCCTCACATCCAGCCCTCAGCTTCTAGGATTCTTCCCTGTTCTCCCCACACAGGCCGGAGAGGTGACACAGTGTTCAAGGTGGCACCAGCAGTAAAGGGCTCTCAGGATTCACTCATCCCTTGTCTATATCTCGCTCCGTTTCTGAAAGGAAGCAGGAAGAGACAGAGAATAAAATCTGTTATTGCTTTTCAGGAGGGAATTTGTGGACGGGTTCTCTCAGGGGATAGAAAACGCAAAGGGTAAAGAAACTCCATCACTTTGCCTGAAACCCCACTACTCGGGGAGGCCGAAGCAGGAGGATCACTTGAGGTCAGGATTTCAAGACCAGCCTGGGCAATGAAGTGAGACACCGTCTCACTTAAAAAATTAGGGAGTGTACCTGTGGCCCCAGGTACTTGGGATGCTCACCTGAGCCCAGGAGTTTGAGTTTACAGTGAGCTGTGAATGATAGGGCAACTGCATTCTAGCCTGGGTGACAAAGTAAGACCCTATCTCAGAAGAAAAAAATAAAAAGCTCTGTCACTCAAGGTACTCCATGGAAGAAGTAAGGAGGTGTGAGCTAAGGGCATTCCTGGCAAGGTGACTCAGGACCTTGCCTGAGAAATTCAGTACAATCGAGTACCTGATATTTGGCACTTGAGGTGTGCACAGCAGTGTGGTTAGCCTTGGAGATGCTGAGCAGAATATGTAAGTTTCTGCCCTTAGGGAGTCCAAGAAGCCCACCAAGGCAGGGGGAGGAGAGAGGTGGAGACAAAACTAGATGGACAGATAGAAGCCAGGGTCAGACCTCAGATCCCAGAGGAAGTTTCCTTTTAACTGCACTGTGGATTCAGGATTTAATTGTAGATGTTGTGGGATGAGGCTGGGGGTGGAATATTCATTCTCTATTCTTAAGGCAAAATCTTGATACATAAACAGGTGCATTGCGGGAATAGCGCTGGGGTACACACAGAGGGCTCTAAGGAGCAGGATGACTGTCCTCAGGAAAACTTCCAGGAGAGTTCCTAAGGTTTGGGTGGAGGAAAGGATGGAATTTGGTTTAATGAGGTCCCTTAGGCTTTACAATTGAGGTAATGCAGTGGACGCATCAGCGAGGGAGGAACAGCAGTTACAGAGAAGTTGTGACTGTGAGTCACATAACGAAGTGGCAAGGCTGGGTCTAGACTGGATTCCACTCTATTATTCAGAGTTCTCTAACAAACCACCCCTCCTCAGCAGATGCACCCCTGCCCTTCCAATGTCTTCCACCCACCCTGGGCTTGCTTTTCTCCAACACCCCGCCTCTCTTCCCAAACTTCCCCTGGGGACTAACTATCTGGGAGTGAGACCTGCTCAGAGGGTCCCCCACCTGTTGAACCCAGACTTAAGGGAGGGTCCCCTCTAAGGGTGATGACAGGTAGGACAGACAGGCAGAAAACATAATTTGAAGTATTTTTGTTTTTTTATATACAGAATACAGGAAAGCTTCTGTAAAGTCTAAAACATTACAATTACTATGTACATTGGTACTAGTTGTGGGGGTGGGAGGAGAGGAGGGAGCCAGGGGCAGGAGGAAGAGGAGAGAAGTGGCAAGAGAACAAAAAGAGACAAAACAGGATTACGACAAAAACATTTTTGCTACAATAGACAATTTGAGAAAACGCTCTACCACATGTAGTACTGTACACAGTTTTTAAAAACATTGAAAAAATGTCGTCACTAGGTGTATTTACACAAAATCCAAATACACTTTTCCTTATTTGAAATAAAATAGATGGACAGCCAGAAAAAGAATTCATTTCTCATTTGTCCATAATACACAGTAGCTACCTGTAGTGCAACCGCTGCAGAAAGGGAAAATAACTTGGAGGGTGGGAACCATGGAAGGAGGGTGGGTAGCGATTTTTATATTAAATAAAACAATGATATTGTATAGATTTTGCTGTATGAAAACTGTATTTTTTCTTTTAATATAAAACTATTGTCACTGCCACAAAATAGAACAAGTTTCTGATTATTTTACAACGGCGGGCGAGGGGGAGGGAGCAGGAGGTGGGTGGGGAAGGGTTTTGTGTTGGAGGAAGAGTCCAGACCACAGGTCTTCCCCTCCCTGCCCACGCTGTTCCTCAGCTCGGGTCTGCCGCTTTCCCATGAAATGTCGAGTACAAATATATGTGCAAATGCCCCCTAGAACTTGAGAAAAGAAAAAGGATTTTTAAAAAAGTCAAAAGGTTTTCTTCATTTCATGCAAAGATTGTAGTTGAAGGGTTTCTGGTATAGAAAACACCGGGCTTGGTTTGTGTACATTTTTGCATTGCAGGAGTCTTGGGTGGGTATGCAGGCCAGTGGCGGGGTGGCCACCAGCCCTAGGGAACGGAGTTAGAGCGCAGCACAGGGCCCTGGTGGGGCTTGAGAGAGAGCTTCTCGGCCAAGACCCCATCCTGCAGCAGGCTGGCATCGCCTTTGGGCTGTTTGGTCGCAAACTCAGTGATGCTGAAGACAAACTGCAGGCAGCCCAGCTTGATGTAGCTGCCATGGTGCAGTAAGGCCGTGCCCTCCCAGCCGGCCCCACTGCCCCCAATCAAGCTCGAGCTGCTGGCTTTGCAGTTGCAGGGTCTCCGCTGTGGCCCCTGGGCCTGGGAACTCATCATGGCTGCCTCCTCACTTGGCTCTTCATCCTGTTTCTGGTGCCGGTGGCGCCCTGGGAAAAAGGGGGATGGTCACAGGAGAGGAACAATGAGCAGCCAACCCATCTGGGCTGTTTGCCAGGGTTGGGCCCCTGCATCTCCCCGTTCCAACTGCTGCGTGACTAGGGGTGGGGGACACTCAGAAAGGGTTGGTGGCGTCTGAAGTCCCCACACAGGTGTGTGCACGTATGCGGGTACTCAGCACTTGCTTCTCTATGGCCTTCCCTGGGCCCAGGAGTAAGGAGAGCTTAGCCAACAGGACTGGGAAGGCAAGAGACAGCAGGTCATCGGCAGCAAGTGATGGGGGCCTCTGCTTTGTGGCCATAGGCCTCTGCTCCAACTTACTGATGACACTCTGCACTTTGGCAACAATACTGCTTGGGGGGGTTGGCGGGGTCTTCTCAGAGAAGTCACATGAATACAGCACATTGTCCACCGTTGTCCCGTGCTCACTGTAGTTTAACAGCTCATAATGTTTGGTATTCTGAGGAAGAGGAGGGGAGATAAGATGTGTGGTCTGCTGCGTGGGCCTGGGGCTAAGGGGAGGGAGGACATACGGAGAAGGCTGTGCTGCTCTACCTAAGGAACTCGCACTTTCTTCCCCAGTCATGGCCCAGCCCCATCCTTTCAGAACAGGGCTGGAGAGTCACCTCCTGGGGCAAGGCTTCCTCCCCAGTGCCCCACGCCCCCTGCTTTCCCACTGCTCCTCAGAACTGGCTCCTGTTGACATGACACTCACTGGCCTGTGATGATGATGAAACTCACAAGAACATACCCACAGGGCTTGGCTTCCTTCGAAGCTGGTCCCCTGCCCTGTTTTAGGGTAGGCTTCCCCTGCTGTGCCTATGACCAACAGGGGAAATGACAGCCCTGCTCTTGGGAAGCAGGTAGCCCTGTTAGGATGCCATTGGCACCAAGACTCTTCTCCTCCAGGAATGACAGGGAGGGAAGAAAAGGAGAGGACCCTCAACCCTCCCCCCCCTCAGCACTGAACAAAAACCCAGTGCTTGGGAGAGGCCTCAGGTTGGGAAAGCTCCCTCCCACCCCATGTCCACCCCTCACCTCATCGTAGAATATGCAGGCGTGTTTCCCAGACACGTAGTTACAGTGACCATAGTTTGTAAGGCACACGTCCATGTCAGCTCCTGCAAGGTGGCAGGAGTAGAGGCAAAGGAAGGCAGAGAACACATTGTAAGGTGTATGTGTGGAAGAGGTGAGGGAGGAAGGGAGTTAGCTGTGGGGTAGGCACTAGTAGAGACCTCAAGGGGTGGGTAGCTTGGGACCCTCTCCTTGTATTTTGAACAAAAATTGATGTCTTTTCCAACCTCTTGCTGAAGAACAGCTGTCCTTGACAGCTGATGTGCTTTAGAACATGTGGTTACTACCCAGAGGGGAAACACTGAACCACTGAAGAGGATGGGGTATTTCCATGAGAATACAACATGAGGGTATAGGGCCTATAAATCATATCACCCGAAAGAAAGAGAAATTTCTAGGCTAAGGGCTGATCTGTCTCTCTCTGTGCCAGATATAGGGCTATCTGTCTCTGGGACTTCTGGGGGGCAGGGCAGGGAACCAACAGGTAGCTAAATGAAGGTTAGGTATGCGTGAGCCTGTTACTTTTCCAAAGACCTCCAGGGACAAGGCATTTGCCCTCTCCTTCAGGTTTTTCCCTGCGGTACTTAAAATGCCTCCCTGAGCAGTGGTCAGAGCTGACTTTCATCTCTGTGGATGCCATACTGAGCACAAAGCAAAAGCACCTGAGCCAGGGAGGATAAGTGACTGATCGTCTCCAGTCTTAGTCTCTCTCGTCTGGGTAAAGCCTGGGTAAAACCGGCCAACCCTGGAAAGGGCTTCCCTCACCCCTTCGAGCATCTGTGGGTAAGGGTGCTGATCTTTAGGGCTGAACAGGTGCAGTGCCTCTCCCGACTTCCTGGCTGGCTCACCTGTCCCGATGTAGAGGGTTCGATAGCACATGTTCACAGCTCCTCCCAACCCTAAGAGGGGGTAGAACACAGCTCGGGCCTGTACTTCCTTTCTTTGCACTACAAGACAAACATAGGAATAGGATCATTCAGAAACTCAGATCCTGTGACGCAAACATAAACCAACAAAATCTGGACCTTTGGCTCACGGCCGGGAGAAAAATCCCACTGGATGACTCATCTTTCCAAACTCACATCTGACAATGAGCTGCTTCAGAGCCAGGCTTTCTCTCCCCACCCACAGCATTGCCAACATGGGTGGGAGCACTATCTCTGAAGATGGTCATAGAATTCAGAGACGATCATACTTTTAAGCTCCTGGGCTGCTGGTTGGCTTATCAGGGATATTTCACCTGATACTATACTATAGGGAAAACATGGAAAAACAGAAGGCATGGACCAGTGTTTCTCAAACTTTAATGTGCACATGAATCCCCTATGATCCTGTTAAAATGCAGATTCGGATTCAGTAGGTCTGAGATGGGGCCTGAGCTCTCCATTTCTAATGTGCTCTCGGGGACTGCTGACGCTGCTGGTGGGGGGACCACACTTTGAAGCATTAAGGCTCTTAATGGCTAATAATGCTCAGAGGTATCTGAAGCAGAGTTAACCACTTGGGGAAAATTTACAGGAGGCTGGCCCAGTGTTATTCTGTTTCTCACCTTGAACTTCAAAAGTTCCCTCTTGGGAAACCCTTCTAATTCAAATATTTGAAAGCAACTGAGCAGAAAGCACATCACATGCACCCAAAGGTACTGGTAGCTGCTTTGCTGTATCTCAAAATAGACATGCATGAAAGAGTTATAACAGACTTCCGAGTCTAATCAGAAAGCTGTGGTTGTCATTTTGTTCTTGTACTCTGAGGAAAAAAACCATGATGCTTTAGTAAGCCCATTAAAGGCACACAAGGAGATTTGAGATACTGAAAGCTCAGATTCTCCACGGAGGCAAGGCAGCTGTTTGCACACACAGAGGGGAGTTCTGGTGGTGTGGTGGCAGGTGTGTGCATGCGCACCTTCGGTGTGGTGCCCTCCAGAAGCCAGTGGATGTGTCCCGACACTGCCTGGTGAAGCTTGGACCCGGGAGGGGAAAAGCTGATGTATTCTCTGCAAGGCCAGAAACTTGATCAGCTTCTCGTCCAGCATATTTATCTCGATTTCTATTAACCAAAGAGAAAGATTAAAAAGCAGCTGAGGTGGAAATGGAATGTGGAAGTAGGTAAGGGTCACAGAGCAAATAGTTCAACACTTCTATAATAAAATTCAGCCAAGTGATTTTTGTTCAAACAGCACTGAGCATAGAGTGGTACAAGGAACAGGAGCTGGGCATCTCACTCAACATTCGCAGTGAGATGGGGCTCAGTGCAGTCTGTGCAGATGCCTCCTGGTGTTGGGTAGAGTGATTTTTAAAGTGGTCTTAGGAAGGCAGAGCAGAATAAACCACTTTGCCTGTCTGTGCAGGAGGGCCTGGATGTCTGATATTGAGACCTGAATATTTTCTACCCACCCTCTGTTCACAGAGATCATCTGTCCCTGTTCTCATTGACTTTGGGGATTTCCCACACATGAGGCCCTTCCTTTGGAGAAAGGCTCTTGGTTTTATTCTCTAAGTCCAGGTGATCTACCTGAAGTGAGTTTGTTCTCTTCTCACTGGTTCCTCATCCCCTTCTCCCTAGCCCTTGAGATCAGGTAACCCTTCTCTCTCTTCCTTTTTTGTTTTTCTTAAGAGATAGGGTCTCACTTTGTTGCCCAGGCTGGAGCGCAGTGGCATCATCATAGCTCACTGTAGTCTTGGTGGGTATCAAGTGATACTCCCACCTCAGCCTGCCAAGTAGCTGGGACTACTGGTGTGCACTATCACACCTGGCTAATTTTTAAAAAATCTTTCTGTAGAGACAGGATCTTGCTATGCTGCCCAGGCTGGTCTCCAACTCTTGGCCTCCCAAAGTGCTGGGATTACAGGAGTGAGCCCACCACACTCAGCTATCTTCTCCCCTTTTTTGAAATGAGCCGAATGCTGTACAGAACAGCACCTTCACCATAGCAACTGGTGGAACAGCAGCCACTCACTCACTCACCTCCATTGACATCCATAAATGCTCGAAGTGAGTTGGTGAGGTCCACCATGGCAGTAGAGTTGGCTGGGAAAGAGGGTACGGTTAAAGCGCTTCCTATGGATAACGTGCCGGGGCTGACCTTGCCATCTGGGGACGGAGCAGGAAGACTGTTACTTACGTCGCCTGAGGGAAACCCACCGGTCCAATCCCCCATTGCTGAGACAGGTCTGGATTTCGGACCCAAGGTGATGTTCCCTTCTTGATTCTCAACCCATAGGCTCTGGAACTCCTAGAGCTAAAAACGTGTGGTGAGGAAGGGCAGATGGAACGACAAAGCACCCGGGCACGCAAGTCTCCAGAACACTGAGAACCACTGAAATCCACTGCTCTGGGGAAAGTGGTGGGGCAGCTTCATTCTCTGGGCCATGACTACCTCCCGGCTGCCTCTACCCTTAACTAAGTAGTGCCTTCCCCTGCAATTTCTGTCGACTGAAATACAGCTCACAGCGTGCAGAATCTATCCGTGCTGGTATTAAGAGATAAACAGAGAGAGGAAAATAGCCTGAGGGTAGGACCATCCTGGGACCATGGCCCCCATGCAGAGAAATCAGTCACCTGGTTACTGAGACTCCCAGCTGACTAGGAGGCCAGCTTCAGTTCAGACGGGGAGACCACAGGGGGGTTTCCAGCAGCATCTGAAACCTGGTTCAGATGCTGGGGTCAGCAACCTCAACGTCCTGAGTGCTGACTGGGGACAGCTGAGACAGCAGGTCCATGCTAGGCCAAGTATAGACTTAAGGGATTGCCCTTTGGCATGTGGCCCGAGGGCAAGCTTCTGAAAGGCAGTGCTGCTTTCTGTCCCTGCTTCCCTGACGTGGAAGTCCATCAAATGAGCTGGCTCTGAAAGTCTGCTCGTGAATCCAATCTCTTATATGAGTCGTGAGATACTGAGACCATTACCCAGAACCTCGGGCTGACACAGTGGTTCCAGAGAGCAAGCTGCCTTCTTCTAAGGTGATGGAACAGGCAGAAGACTAGGCCTGGAAGGTGTGGGAAGGAGACAGGAGACCCAGGCTGTAGTTCCAATCCTGCCACTGACTCAGTAGTGGAAATCACCTTAAGGAAATCACTCCAGCTTTCAGAGCCTAAGCAGTCCCATCTATAAAAATGGGGATAAGTTAATATGTGCTTCCTCTTCTATTACAAAAATGGAGAAAACACAAACAATACAGAGATCAAAGTCTTCTGAAGCATTCATGGGGATGTAAGTGTTTTTGGAATCTTAAGTCTTATTTGCCAGGAAGACCATAAAATTATTCCAAGTCACCCCAAGTCTGAGCAGCACTCACCTGATGATGGCGCTGGTGAGCAGAATCGTTGGTTGGCTCCTGTGGCCAAGATACTGTCTCCTGCTGCGTGGGGGGGAGTGAGCACCCGGGTGGCATTTGGGGGTGAGCCCAATGGCCTTGAATCTGTCAATGGAGGTCCTATCTGTGATTGGATAGTCTTTCTTTGCAAAGTGCTGGTGTTCTCGATGCTGGCACAAGAGCTGGGAATGGAAGGGGGCAGGCTTGGGACAGGAACTAAACTCCTTTGGGGGCAAGAGCTGGGGCCAGTGGCATTCTCTGTCTTCACAATGATGCCGACGGTGTGGTTCTGAAGGCCCCCAGCCGCTGGTGGCGTGAGGGGCTGGGGCCAGCCTTGCCGGTGTGAGAGGCCTGGTAGGGGTGTGTTGGTGCCTGGAAGTCGCCGGGGGTCCGTGGAATCAGTGGGGCTGCTGTAGAGGTGTGGGCCATTGACTTTGACCTCTGTGTTCACTGGCCCGTTGGCAGTCCCACAAGGGGCTTTCTTGGATTTTTCCGCACAAGAACTGCAGCTGATGTCCTCTAGGGCTGGGGGCTGGTGGGGTGGAGAGCAGCTCAGGGAATTCTGGGTGCTAATCCCTGAGGGGCAGGACAAGGGGTAGTGGGAAGGTGTTGGTGCCTTGTCAGCTGTTTGCAGGGAGGTGGTGATTGAGCTGTCAGTCACAATAACAGGCTTAATATCAGCCTTCTCTGTCTGTTCAGAGTCCCAATGCGAAGGCATCTGCTTAGCAGATAAATGTTTCAATATGCTGCACTGGAGCGCAACAACACTACAGAGCCACTGCAACGGAAGGAGAGGAGAGGAGAGGAGGGTGAGAGGCCTGGGAGGCGCTGGTCCTTCCTGCCACAGCGGCCAGGGCTACAGCAGAGCTGACGAGCAGTTTCCGAGGTCCCATCAAGAACGCCCAGGAAGGATGTGCTCGACTCCTGACAGGATTCCATTTCCATTCCCACGGGGTACGCTCGGCAGACAACGCCCCGTCAGCAGAGCCTGGGGTTCGCGCTTTGGCCCTGCCACGAAGGCTCACCTTACGACCAATACTCAGGAAGTACCCGAGCACCTGCAGTGTGTCCAGCACTATCGCCTGAACTCTCTACAGGTCAACTCATCTCCTTCTATGCACAGATTTGCCTGTCTCGCAGTGCACTGGGGGACTGATGGAGAAGCAGACCGGCTGACTCTGTAGTTCTCTCTTACTTGCCTTTGGGATCTGAGCCAGAGGTTCCCTCTGGAATACTCAACTCTTCCAGGGTTACGGTGAGGGTGGGTAGGGATGGGGATGGGAATGACACTGAGGCTGTTTGCAGTAACAACCGTCATTAGATGGAAGGAAGATTAGATCGGGAATCCCAGCCCTGCCTTCACTCACCTCTTGCTGCTCTGCCTGGGTGGCTAAGTGCTCAGAGTTCAAAAGGTGCGTCTGTGATTCCTCAGGGATCCCATTGCAGATCAGCTCCCCATCCCGAATGGCCGCGGGTGCAATGAGAGGGGGTGGAAACTGGTACTGAGATTTTATAGCATCGGGAACCTGTTCAGAATAGACAGAAGGAGGAAGGAGAGGGAGATAGTGCCAACGCGTCCAGCTCATTCTGCCCTGGCACGCTGTTCTGTCTGTGGTGCTGATGCCCAAGGGACCATCCACTCCGAGGTCCACTGAGGACAAGGAGGCTCAGTGTGCGGCAACTGCTCTGTGTGCCCCATCTCTTTGACTCTGACATGCGCACACTGGCCTGACAGGGCACAGCAATGCAAACAGCAGGTAGGGCCTCCACTTTTCTTCAAGGACTAAGGCTTGCAGAATCCAGAAACTTTTGCATGCTGTCTTCTGCTTTGGCCTGAAAGGTGTAAGACTGACACTGAACAGGTCTTCAGAATGGCACTCTAGGTTCTTATCACTCACTGTCAAGTTTGGGAGGTGGGTGAGCAGAAACTGAGACATAAGAACATTCATGGTAGATGTGCTCAGCATGAGGTTTGGCTCATGATAAGCACTCAATCAATGTTAGTTTTCTTTATCCATTCATTCATGACTCATGAAACAACTGAAGACCTCTTTGTTGCACAGACGGAAGACACACTCTGCATCACACCATGTAAGAATGAAAAAGCCACATAAGCAGAGAGTCATTCATACATTCAACCAACATTTATTGAGCACTTCCTGTGTCTGCACACTGTTTCAAGTCCTAGAGATCCAGAGATGAATAAAACTTAAGCCCTGCCCTCAAGGAGCGCACAGTCTAGTGGGGAGATAAACACAGAAACATTACAATACAATGTAATGGGTTCCAGAATAGAGACATGTCTAAGGTGCTATAAAAAACATAAACACAAAGAAGAATAGTTATTTTAGTTTGGGGGATAGAAGTTGGGGACTAGGGAAGATTTTACAGGAAATCAGTATGTGAGCTGAGATTTGGAAGTTGAGAAGGAACTTCCAAAGCAGATAAAGGGGAAATAAGGGTTGGGGGTACTGCATGTATGGCACAGAGATGTGAAAGCACACGGTGGATTTGGAAAACATCCAGAGAACCAAGATTTTGGTGACCAAGTCCTTAGGGAGGATAAGGGAAGAGGAACTGAAAACAGCTCCCAGAATTTTGGCTTGAGGGACAGGGTAGAGATTGCTGTCATTTACTGAAACAGGAAATATAGGAGGAAGAGCACATTAGGAGGAGCAGAAGATGCTGGTCTTCAGTAGGTTGAGACTGAGGTGCCTGTGTGTTGGGCAAGCAAATGTAAGTCTAAATATGAGAAGGAAGACAAGGAATGTGAGTTGAGAGTCATGGCCACAATGGTGTTGGCTGGTGCCATGGGCTTTCTGACATCACCCAGGAATGGAGCACTCTAAGGCTGCCCCCTGGGGAAGAGTGAAGAGGAATTTCCAACAAAGTTCTAACCAGCGCGGTGGCTCACGCCTATAATCCTAGCACTTTGGGAGCTGAGGTGGGATGATCACAGTGCCCAGGAGTTGGAGACCAGCCTGAACAAGAGGAAGACCCCATCTCTACTAAAAATAGAAAAATTAGCCAGGTGTCGTGGCAAATGCCTGTAGTCCTAGCTACTCAGGAGGCTGAGGCAGGAGGACTGCTTGAGCCCAGAAGTTGAGACTGCAGTGAGCTACGATGACACCACTGAGCTCTATCTGAGGCAACCAAGTGAGACTCTGTCTCAAAAAAAAGAAAGGGAGTTCTCGGCAGGTTATGCCTGCATTGCTATAATTAAGGAAGAAGGCCAATGTTCCAGGAGAGAGCTGGAGTTCTCTGTCAGTGTCCTATGGTGCTACTGTCCTCACTTCACTCTCAAACTGTCCAAGTACAAGATGCTTTGCAGGTAACTCAATCCTCTGGATTTTCTTCAACAGGAAAACATTTAAAAAATGGGAGGGGGCACCATACAATGACAGGATTTTATCAAGGTGGCCTGGTCTGTTCACTTCAGCAGCCAGGCTCTCTCCTAAATCTATACAATGAAGTACACAGTCTGGATTACTTTTAGATCCATTTAACTGAGGTACGAGGCAGGGCACCTTTAATATCCCCTAACTCCAACTGAAAACATTTGAATTTAATTTGAGAAAACTTGCTTTTCCATTGAAGTATAAATATCTGCCCACTTAAGAGTTTGGTATACAATTTCCAACAGTTAGCATCTTGCTAGTGCTGACACCCACTGGAGGTGATGGTAGTGGTGTGACTGATTTTAAAATGCAGCTGCCACCAAGTGGCCATATTTGAGAATTGCTGGTTTCTGTGGGCACATAGGACTGTCCGTAGGATCATTTCAAATGAGAAAAATCAAGTTTATTTATGGGTATATAGTGTTGGGCCTCCAGGTTAACTGAATGAGGAGGCTGAATGGTTTAAGAAACATCTTTGGCCGGGCGTGGTGGCTCACGCCTGTAATCCTAGCACTCTGGGAGGCCGAGGCGGGTGGATCGCTCAAGGTCAGGAGTTCCAGACCAGCCTGAGCAAGAGAGAGACCCCGTCTCTACTAAAAATAGAAAGAAATTATTTGGACAACTAAAAATCTATATAGAAAAAATCAGCCAGGTATGGTGGTACATGTCTGTAGTCCCAGCTACTCGGGAGGCTGAGGCAGTAGGATTGCTCGAGCCCAGGAGTTTGAGGTTGTTGTGAGCTAGGCTGATGCCACGGCACTCTACTCCAGGCAACGGAGTGAGACTCTGCCTCAAAAAAAAAAAAAAAAAAAAAGAAACATCCTCAACACTACAAAATGCTTTTCAATAAAGGAAATTTTTCTGTCAATCTCTGTAAACACATTTTAGCAAATGTCAAATGCATATAAATGTTAGATATTATTACAGCAATGCTACAATTTGGAGTATAGGTAATACATTAACAGCAGCCTGGAAAATAGATTTAACTTTCCTTTAGACATTTTTCTCTTAAGTTCCTGAGCTGGGACTAGCTCTTCACCTTCTACATGGCTCTCTCTCACCAGATAGCTCAGGACAGGGGCAATCTAACAAGAACACAGGATGAGTGTCAGGCGAGGACGCAGTAACAACAGAGCACATGTAGGTTTGGTAGGATGAACTAAAGAGTGCTCATCCTTTGAAGAACTAGAGACTTGCAGACTTCAAAGGCCTATGTGGGGTTTGGCTCTCATAATCCTGATCACCATCCTCAAGTATTAAAATGTAAGGTAACGTTCATTACTTGCTGAGAAGCCACAAACAAATCTCTGGGGCTCCCGTCTCCCTGTCTGTAAAATTGGGACAATGATCCCCTATCCCATGAAGGCAATGAAAGAGCACCATCTTGCTTGCACTAGGCCGTTACTCACCTTCAAGCTTCTTCTTTTGACTGACTGGAGCACACGGCGGTTAGGAGGGTGTTTCTTGTGGATTCGGTTCAGGAAGTCCACTTTGATAACGTGCTGCGAAATGGTGTCCTGGAAACGATCAAACACCTGGCACCGATTGCTCAGCGTCATATTCTTCTGGTTCAGCTAGGGACAAAGCAGACATATCCCTGTGGTGAGACTTGGAAAGTGCCCCCCTCCTAGTTAACCCTATTCTGGGTTTAAAAACTAGAAGTCTTTGGCCAAATGGGTTCCTTCCATCAGGCGCCAGGACATCAGCACTCCTGTCAGAGGGCAAGGCAACATGGATGAGACTTCCCGCTCAGCCCTGCCCAATCCAGTGGAGAACTAGTGTGTTCCTGTTCCCTAGAGAGGCTTGAAGACAAGAAATAGGGAATTAGCAAGGAAGTGCCCTTCCCAGTTCAGCCTCTGACAGTCTTCTGCTGCAGGTCAGAGAATCCTTTGTCAGGGTACCCTAATAGCAGCACAGGGTTCAGAGGAGATGCAGGCTTTGGTCCTCAAGAGACTCAGACTCCCATCCCAGCAAGGGCTTCTCTCTCACAGGAAGCATGTTTGTGTTCTACATAGGAGCGTGGCTGACAACTGGGTCAGCACCAGAATCCTGTGTGCCCTGCCCTATCCCTACTCCACGGTACCAGGGAACATTAGTGAACCTTCTTGATATCACGTTCTTCCTCTATGGGAGGGGGAAAACCTTGGACTGCTCTTAGAGGCTGGAATAAGAGAAGAAAGAAGAGTTTCTGCGATAACACGGACAAACTATGCCACTTACCCTCTTCTACATCTGGTTCCCCAAACTTTAATTCAAAAGAAAGACTGGTTTTGGCAGTTTTCTAATTAGTAAATTAGGCAAAACCTTTAAGTGGGTAATGCCTCAGAGAGAAGTTTCCTCCGAGATAAATCTGAGTGGCATTGAGTCAAAAGAATACAAATTAACTCTCCTCTTCTGTGTTTAAGTCTTTAACTGAGGTTTCCTTCAGTGCAAGGGCAGGAGAACACTGCCATGTTGAAGGCCAATAGTTATTCCACGGTTATCATCATTTGATAGAGAGTATCTTAAGCAGTAACCTTTTTAATTTGGAAAGGCTGCTCTTATGATGGAGCTCCCCCTCCTGAAGCCCTCTCTCATTCAATCTTGTGAATGACTGTGCTACCTGCCTAAAAGGAGATGTCCTAAACCCAAACTCTTTTGGAGATAGCAAATGACAGCTCTGTTCTAGTCTCTGGAAAATGTACCAAGACTCCTGGGAGGCAAAGTAATAGGATCTTCATACCATTCATTCATTCATTCATTCAACAACTTACTTGCTGAACTGCTGTTATTAATATATGTCATCATAAGGAGGTTGTAAAGAATTAAATAAAACAAGAGAAAAGAAAGAACCTCATTTGGTGCCTGGGACACGCATTCCATCCAGACAGCCAACCATTTATTTCCTTAAGGTTGGATCTAATATACTCCCCTTTTAGGGCTGTACGTCAACTGCTTAATTCACTGTGGGAGAAATTACTCACAAACAGCTAAGCACTAGTGGATCAAGTCTGTCTATGTAACCAAAACAAGGCATTGTGGGGAAAGGCAAAACGCAGTATGATGTTCTACAAAAACCAGCATCTGTGAGATGATGGTGAACTCTGGTACAAAGCTGACTTTAATATGCTTTCTACTGAATCAGTGCACACCCTAGCTGTGCCTGTAGAGGAGGAGTGACTGGACACTGCTGTGCTTACCACCACATGTTCGATGTGATTCGGACACATCCATCTGCCCAGGGGCATGGCAGTGAGCGGCGGCTCGAGGCAGTCCATGTGAAACAGGAGGGGGCAATAGTCACACTGGATGAGAGGGGCCACACGGCAACTCCTGCAGAAAAGAGATATAGGCCATTTCTGTGGCAAGATAACTCTGCACTGTGGAATAGCCTCCCCTCCTTAATCCCAACGACATTCTCTCACGCCTTCCTCCTCCAGTGATTCAGTTACATTCATGATAAGGATGAATTTCAGGGCTCCTGTTAGGCTCTCTATTACTCTCTCTTCTAAGAATAATGTGTCTTGTGGGGAAGTGAATGTTTATTTGGAGTATAGCTAAAGTGACTGTCAGAACAGGAATGATCAATGCTCAATACCCACTGGGGGAAGACAGCAAACTCTGCTCTGATCTTTCTACTCCTTAAAAGGGAGCAACTATCATTAAAAAAAAAAAAAAATCACTAGCAACCTTTCTAGAGTCTTAACTACAGCAAAAAAAGATTTCTCTTCTGCATGAAGCACTTGGCAGAACTGACAACTAGAGAGAGGTGTGCTGGGAAAATGATTTTGCATGTATTCATGGAAGCAGAGTTCAAGGGAGGGGGCCTAAGCAAATGCCAATTACAATTTGTAACTACAATGCTCCTTGGGTCCCTGAGATGCACTGGAGCCACAGTTTGTCCTGGCTCAGAGTTCTACTGCTCTACTATCTAATGCCCTAGAGCTTTTGCTGATAGTTATTCTCTCCTGCTATCCTGCTCTGACCATAATACAGTCCTTCTAACTCACCCAAGCCAGCAAGTCCAGCTTCAGTAATTGAAGCAGCTGGTTCCTGTCACTGAAGAGATCCTATTTGAAGGAACCCAGTGTTTCAGTAAAGGCACAACTGCAGCAGCCTAGGGGCTTTTGGAAGTCATCCAGTCTGATGCACACTAATTACTAAGAATACTTATACTACTTTTTTTTTTCCTAAAGAGATGAGGTCTTGCTCTGTCACCCAGGCTGGTCTCAAACTTCTGGCCTCAAGCGATCCTCCTACCTTGGCCTCCCAAAGTGCTGGGATGACAAGCATGAGCTACCATGCGCAGCCTTGTACTACTTTTAAACTCATCTTTAGTGATTTAACAATGCTTTGTGCCCTTTCCAGGGACTTATGTCTCTGCTGGCCAGAGTTTTTCCTACCAGCTAGTCTAAATATCTCATGCTTCAGTTTAAGTCTAACTCCTCTTGTTCTAGCCTCTATCAACACGTTTAATGATATTCCTGTACTGTGATTCTTCAGGGAACATATTCAAAGCTCTGCTCAGTCCATTAATCAGTCAGTCTCTGTGTACTGATACCATTAGGATACGGGTTGTCCACATTCAGTATACATGATTTGGAAGGGATAAAAAAGAAAAGGCATTATTTGCTAAATATGAGGAAGAGCCTCTTGGTATGAAAGAAAATACCTGTTACACGTGAAGCAGACTTTGACCGGTAAGGGAACGAGACCATTGTGATCTAACTCATGCTGTGTTTTCTTTACGTTTTTCCCTGTGGTTTCCTCTTTTCGTCTTCTCTTGCTAGAACCTAGAAAAGAAATTGGTGGTGCTGAATTACCCCTGGCTTCAGAGTTCCCAGCCTGCAATATGGAAACAATATTAAATGAAAAGAACAGGTGCTAAAGCATGTACCATGGCCTGCACATGGATCTCTCTGAGGTCCATGGGGCTGGTTTCAAGTGAGAAAAAAAGAATGAGAAGGGAGGAAAAAGGAGATAGAGACGTAAGTCAGAACCATGATCAAAAGTCACTTGCTTAGTGGCAGAAACACATCTAACTGTTTTGCAAACATAAAGTGGCCAGAAACCTAGGTTTGACACTGGCCAAACTAAGAAATATAAATGCCTAAGTCGACAGTCAACAAGGACTATTCTGTGGAGGTGGCTGAGGAAGAGACGACACTTTCACCATGTTTTTATAGAAATCATAAAAATTTTGATTTTATATGCATCCTTCTTAAACCTAACAATTTTGCTTTCTCTGGGAAGAAAAAGAAAGAAAAAGCGGCCGGGCGCGGTGGCTCACGCCTGTAATCCTAGCTCTCTGGGAGGCCGAGGCGGGCAGATTGTTTGAGCTCAGGAGTTCAAAACCAGCCTGAGCAAGAGCGAGACCCCATCTCTACTAAAAAAAATTAGAAAGAAATTAATTGGACAACTAAAAATATATAGAAAAAATTAGCCGGGCATGGTGGGGCATGTCTGTAGTCCCAGCTACTCGGGAGGCTGAGGCAGGAGGATCGCTTGAGCCCAGGAGTTGGAGGTTGCTGTGAGCTAGGATGACGCCACGGCACTCTAGCCTGGGCAACACAGAGAGACTCTGTCTCAAAAAAAAAAAAAAACAAAAACAAAAACAGAAAGAAAAAGAAAAACTTCTCTAGAGGCTTTGTAGTATCAAGTTGAAGGCAGGACTTGATTTAAAAAAAAAAAAAAACAGTAGAGGGCAATTTGATAATATATATCAAAACTATAAATGCATAGTTTCGACTGAGCAATTATAATATTAGAAATTTTTGTCCTATAGATATACTTACATATCTATACATGTATATAATGTTATTTACAAAGTTATTCATTGAAGCACTACCTGTAGTAACAAAAGATTAGGAACAACCTGAATGTCCATCAATAGAAAACTGGTTAAATAAATTATGACATATCTATACAATAGACTATTACGCAAGTGAGGAAATTCTATATTAATATGAAGACTTTTACAGCATATTGTGAAGTGAAAAAAGCAAGGTGTAGAATGGTATACCTGTATGTTATTTAAGGAGAAAATAATGAACATATATCCGTATTTGCTTTTATATGCACAAGGAAATTCAAGAAGAATAAATAAGAACCAACCAGAGGTTACCTGTGATGGGAAGGAAGGTGGAAACTAGGAAAATGGTGAAGAGGGGTGGAGGGGAAATTTTTAATTATAAGTTTTTATGTTTTTTGATTTTTGAACCATGGAATATAGCATCTACTCAAAAAGACAAAAAAAAAACCATACTGGGAAGAGGTGAGTTTAGAGACTCACAAAATGGAAAATTGAATAATCACTGTAGTGGTTAAGACCTTCAAAGATCTTTCCAGACAGAACTAGGAACAGGAACCCAAGACAGCAGCTACAAAGACTTACCATGCAGGCAGTACTGCTCTTTTGCTGCACAATAATCCTTTGGGAAAGCTGGGGTGGGGGAGGGAGTAGGATGATGGTTTGGCTAACCTGGTAGTGCAGTGGTACAAGTCAGTTCATTGGGCAACTGAAATTGGGTGGGGTTCCGCTCCATGGCAGCAGCAATCAGCAGCTCAAAGGGCCGCCTCAGCTGGGGCTGCACATAGTCCGGCTCCGCTGCTACTGGCTCCTCGTCCACGTCAATGATGTCCTCATCGACGTCATTCTGCTCAGAGGTGGGGGTCTCTGTGCTGGCATTGGATGTGGGTGTGCCAGGCCGGCTGGCTCGCCTTTCCAGGATCCGGGCATGGGCAATGGCCTTGAGTTCAGTTTTGCTAGCTGATCTATCCAGCAAGTCAGTGTCACTGCTGGGGGATGTAGTCCGTTTCCCAGATTTGTCGACCAGTCCATTGACATGACCCAGCTCCTTTTTCTGCTCTCGTTTCTGTGCAAGTGAACAGGTGGGCCCATCATGAAAAGTATCACAAAAAAGAAAGAGATAGGTGCTACAAAGTCCGGGTACACCACTAACCGAAATTATGAAAGTGCTTTACATATGACAGAATCATCCACCTGGGGACCTGGAACACTGGTCTGTTAAAGTTGACATGACTAAAACTGAACTAATCTAAAGCTGACAAAACTATTACAGCAGGGAATCACCAAAAAGCGTGGAAAGTTAGGAACAATTATACATCATTAACCCTAACTCTTCATACAACACACATCTATAAAGTACAGGGCAAATGGCTAAAATGTTAACACAGTGAGAATAAATTTAGTGAGACTAAGTGAGAACAGTAAGAATAACATAGTGAAAATCAATGAGATCACTGTAGTTTGTCTTTTTTTTTTTTGAGACAGAGTCTCACTCTATTGCCTGGGCTAGAGTGCCGTGGCTTCAGCCTAGCTCAAAGCAACCTCAAACTCCTGGGCTCAAGCAATGCTACTGCCTCAGCCTCCTGAGTAGCTGGGACTACAAGCATGTGCCACTATGCCCGGCTAATTTTTTCTCTCTCTATATTTTTTTAGTTGTCCAGATAATTTCTTTCTATTTTTAGTAGAGACGGGGTCTCGCTCTTGCTCAGGCTGGTGTAGTTTGTCTTGAAGCATCCTGACTTTCTGAATGGTTTTAAAAATTTTGGTCAAAATAAAGAAAGTCTGCAAAAGCAAAGGTAGTAAAAACAGGCAAGTAGAGCATCCAGTTTAGGGAGGTTGGATGCTGGCATGGAGAGTAACTATGCTATAAGGTGGAGGGGTGGTGTGGGAAGGGGAGCAACCCAGCAATCATGGTGTCCAAGAAGGGTGGTTTTCAATGTTTAACTTTTAACTAGAACTCTGAAAATGACACTTCCTAGAAGGTAGGGAAGTAGAAAAAGACTAAGTGTACCCAGTAGAACTGGATGTCTGATAATGTATTTTCCTCCAAGACTCCAAATAGAGTGGTCGAATCCAGGTTTAACACTGGTCTCCAGTTAGGGGATCTGGGATCTTGTCCCAGTTCTGCCACTGATTCCCTCTGACCTTGGGGGATTCATGCTGGTGGCCAGGAATTTCTCCATCTATAAAGTGAGACTAATAAAACCTTTCTCCTCCTCCTCTTAGGGATGTAGTGGAGATAAAGAGGGTCATATATATGAAAGGGACTGTTCTGCATTGGAGGAAGACCTAGCTTCCACCAGGAATCATGATAGGATCTGAACATCAGGGGTTGGTGAGGCCCAGAGGATGTATCATTTCAATCCACTTCAGTGAGCAGGAGGCCAAAAGGGAGTGGTGGTGGCAGAAAAGGCAGATCTGGCACTGGCAGGCAAAGAGGTCCATGTGAAAGCAGGTCATAGTGGCATCTCAGGAAGCACCCTGTGTTAGAAAAGGGCATACTATATCCTCTCAGCAAATAGTTCTGCTTCTAGAAAACTGCTGAAGTAACAGAGCTTTGTCAATTTCCTTGAATCCTTAGGAAAGTTAATCTACACTTCTGAGTCTCTTCTTTTCCAAAATGGAGATCTACTATTGGCACCCTGAGATGGCTGTATGGATTAAATGGGATAACAAGAAAAACACCTGGCGTATGATGGAAACTAACATAATGTTAGTTCCTTTTCTCTACCCTTGTTACCTGGCTTCACCTCCTCTCCCTCAGCTCCTCCCAACCCTTTTGGGTCCAGCTCCTTTGAGTGGCAAGTTTCTGAAAGGCCTCTTGGCTGGCAGGTGCCTCTACAAGCCCTGCTGTAACTTAATTGGGGATGCACAGGAAAGGATCCTGGAAGGTGGAGCAGCTGGAGGATAGCCTGGCTTGTGGACCTTGGGAGAAACCGAGCTTCAGCTGTGGTTAGGTGGTTGACTTGGCTTTGGCTTGCTTTTTAATAGGAACTCTTGTGCACATATTTGAAAGATAATGTCTGCCTAACTGTTTACCTTCTTCTTAAAGGCTGAAAACTGTTACACACATAAACCACAATCTCTGAATCATGCCCTCATCCTGTTTCTGCAACTAAGGAAGTCATCATTCACTGTGACATCATGTTCAGAGGTGAGGAAAACAGAGGTGATGTCACAACAAAGTAAAGTTGCTCAGTGTATAATTAGTGTGGGGGAGGGGGAGGGGTGGTTTACAACTCACAGACAAATTCTAATCCATAGCCTATATATTTGAGGATTGGGTAATCATAATCTGAATAGAAGCACACCTACTTCCTCTTCTGATAAGGGAGAATTTAGCTCTTGTACCCCGCAAAAACTCTCAAAGTAGAAAATAATGAACCATGTTCTTAAGCCAGTACTGAATTATCAAAGCTGAGGGCAGGGGAGCTAAAGAGAGATTAGGCAACCTGAGGTACAAACAGGTTCAAAATCCTCTCCATGCAATACACCTGGCCAAGTCTCTGGATACCAGTGACTTATTTGCCTTGTGGGGAGATAAAAACCCCTTTTCCATCAAGTTGGAGAAGCAGCCTTCTTTTTCTTCAGCCATGGATAAGACTGTCACATTCAGGCCACTTATTAGGAGGTCAACAAGGAGATGAGACTACTCCTGCCACTGGTGACTGAACATGGCTCAGTAAATTAACACACCTCTTCTGCCCATTTCAGCAGCCCATGTTTGGATTTTTAGGCCCTATTGGATTCCAAACAGTCACCATGGGCAGAGTGGGGTGATTCCAGGGCTGGAAAAGACAAGAAAAAGGGACGAAAATGCCTTGAGGGCAAGGCCATCTTAGCTCTAGAATATCAGTGCTCTAGATCTGGCATTTTGAGCAAAGCCTTCAGAAAGCAGCATTATTACCTTTCGGCGAACAGTGCACCGGTGACACATCCACTCCCCAGGAGGCAACATCTCTTCACTCAGTGGAGGGTTACTGCAGGGAAAAGACAAGGGCAAGACTAAGTAACCAACCCTTTGATGCAGCAGGGAAAAGCCTGGCTAGGTCTGGCACAAAGCTGAATGTCCCTAAACTCCTATTTTGGCCAGTCTTGCAGCCCTGCTAGGGTTTGCTCATCAAAATGCTTACTCGGAAGCATTTATAATACCCTCAGTGAACATCCCTTCTTATCTTAGAAAGAGAACCAAATGCAGAGCTATTAACATTAGGCTTATAGGAAAAGGTATAAGAACTAGTGTGAGCCCAGAGAGTCTTTCCCAAACTCTATACCATGCTAATAAAATCACTGAGAGGTCCACCACACTGTTTTAAACATCTGTTAGTGCAAGTCCAAGCTCTTCCATCTGCTATTCAAAGCCTTGTTGCATGGTCACATTCTATCTTTCCAGGCCCCCTTCTGGTACCCTTCCTGTTAATCAAATTGAAGACTTGCTATTTCTTCATCTAGAAGCTATGCCTATTAAAACCCTATTTATCCTTTAAAGCTTGCCTCAAATAGCAGTGTGATGGATTAAAGACAGCTACAAATTCTTCGCACAGCCTTCCATCCACAGTCACTCCATTTTCCTCTTCTTGAACTGGGCTTGCCTTGTGATTTGTTTTGACCAACAGAATGCAGCAGAGGTGACAATGTTGTAAAAGGCTAGGCCTTAAGAGATCTGCAGAGTTCACTTTTATATGCTTGGAATATAAAATAGACACCGCTGTCATGCTGTGAGAGGCCACACAGAGGAGACCTATATTCCAATCAACAGCTTCAGCGGAACTCCAATCCAACAGGCAGCGCCAACTACAGATATGTTAGCGGGTCATTTTGGACATACCAGCTCAACAGAGCCTCCAAATGACTGTACTCCCAGCAACAAATGGAACAGAAAAACCACCCCGCTGAGCCCAGGCAACCCTCAGAATTGTGACAGATGGTTACTAGTTTCTGTATCAAACCACTGAATTTTGGGGTCGTTTGTTAAGTAGCAACAGATAATCAAACATAGCTCTCCCATGAGGTCTTTCCAGATTACTCATTATCTTGGACCTCTTATTGCATGGTTTAGTTCTCTTTTAGCATTTCTCATGCTTTGCCTCATGTGATAGTTCTCTCATTTCTTTTATTAGAGGGATAAAGACAATGATTGGATTTTTTTTTTTTTAGAGACAGAGTCTCACTCTGTTGCCTGGGCTAGAGTGTCGTGGCATCAGCCTAGCTCACAGCAACCTCAAACTCCTGGGCTTAAGCAATCCTACTGCCTCAGCCTCCCAAGTGGCTGGGACTACAGGCATGCATCACCATGCCCGCCTAATTTTTTCCACATATTTTTAGTTGTCCAGCTAATTTCTTTCTATTTTTAGTAGAGACGGGGTCTTGCTCTTGCTCAGGCTGGTCTTGAACTCCTGACCTCGAGTGATCCTCCCGCCTCGGCCTCTCAGAGTGCTAGAATTACAGGCGTGAGCCACCGCGCCTGGCCTTCTTTCTTTTTATTTTTATAATACAGAGGTTGTGTACACAGTAGTCACTCAGTAAGTCAATACTGAATCAAAACTAGACCTGTGTAGGGCTGGGCCTTACAGATCCTCTAGGTCATCGATTTCCATGAAGGTTATGCCGAGAGCTACATGAGACTTTATTAAATCCTTGGGAGGATCACATTTATAATGCCTATACAACAGCGGTTCTCAAAGTATGGCTTCCAGATCAGCAGCATCAGTGTCATCTGGGAATTTATTAGAAATGCAAATTCTGGGACCTCACTTCAGATCTACTGAATCAGAAACTCTAGGAGTGGGTCTCAGCAATTTGTGTTTAACAAGCCCTCAACGAGATCTTGCTGAACATCAAAGTTTGAAAATCACTGTTATACTGAATAAGGCAACATTTATGCTTAAGAAATTCCTACCTTTGGTTCTTGGCAGTCACCTACTTGGAATGGTAAGGAGAAAATTTTTCTTCAAAGAATGTGAGAAATAGCAAAAAAACCAAACCAAACCAAAATAAACAAACAAAAACAATAAAAAACCACTTGAGTATTTTTTACAATATACAAGCCCTTTAAGTTCCAGGGCTTAATTTCTACTTAAAACAGCACTTGGCTTGGCAAATTTTTCTAGCTTCTGCTCTGCCATGCTTTCCTGGAGCCCTGAGCATACATGGCAGATGCCCACCAAGCCTTCACAGCTCACTGCTTCCCTTACTCCCTGTTTCCTTAGTGAAACCTCAGGAGTATGCTTACCAGGAAGCAGAAAACTGGAGACATAGTGGCCTGCTGGGACAGGTCTCCAAACCTTAGAGGACCACAGGTGAATGTCACCTGTAGTCTTTCCTCATTCTCTCCAATGTATTTCTGTAATAGGCCACATCCAAACTACTGAAACGCATGCATGTAATTTGCAAAAGACTCTGCTATGCTTCAGCAGCTGTCATATTAAAATTAACCCCGAAGGGGTTAATTCTGATTCTGTCACTTCTGATTCTGTTTTTCATCATTTCTTTTAATCTGCCCCACTGGCTTTGTATCACAATACCCTACATCAAACACGTAAAGCAGAAGGGTGAGGCAAGGTGGTATGGGCTTAGATCTTTCACCAGGATGTGAACTAGTCTCTTGCCACCCTTCATGCTTTCCTCAGTCTATTCCCAAACTTGCTGGCAGAATGATTTATCCAAAATACAATTATGATCATATCTCTCTTCTGAAAAAGCCCTTCAATGGTGCCCCTCCCCCATCCATTACAAGATAAACTTCAAACTCCTTGGTAACGCAGATAAGACCCCTGTGGCCAGAACCCTGACTCTTCCTCCAGCTCCATCAGTCTGCTGGCTCCCTCCACAGCCCATACTGTTTCTCATCTCTGTGTTTCTGCTCACTCCAGGTTCACCACCTACCACCACACAACCCTTCCCCTAATCTTCATCTGGTGAACTCTTTATCTTTTGAGGCTCAAGTCAGGTATTCTCTCCAGGAAGCTTTTTCTAAGCCTCTGTTTCCCCACAGCACTTCTACACCACACTAGAGTCAAACCATTACGTACCTGAATCCCCTTCTCTATGCCTCATTTACCTTTGTACCATCACACCCTGTATAATGCCTGCCATGTAGCGGGCACTCAATGAAACTTTAAAGAACTGAGGAACACTAAAAGAATGGCTTCTAAGAACTGAGTATAACCCCTCCAGAGGCATGAGGCAAGGTAATGCAATTGGGCAGGCACTTGCTTTGGTGGTTAGATCACATATGAAATTACTTAGGGTTTCCTAAGTCACAAAATAATAAGACATGGGAGTCAAAGTCCATACTTGCAAACCTAAACTTCGAATACTGAACGACTCCATCCCACTCATTTTAATTGTCTTTAAACAATTTGATTTTTAATCTTGTTTCTCTTTCTTTTTTTTTTTTTTTGAGACAGAGTCTCACTTTTGTGGCCCGGGCTAGAGTGAGTGCTGTGGCGTCAGCCTAGCTCACAGCAACCTCAAACTCCTGGGCTCAAGCGATCCTTCTGCCTCAGCCTCCCGAGTAGCTGGGACTACAGGCATGAGCCACCACGCCCGGCTAATTTTTTCTATATATTTTTAGTTATCCAATTAATTTCTTTCTATTTTTAGTAGAGATGGGGTCTCGCTCTTGCTCAGGCTGGTTTCGAACTCCTGAGCTCAAACAATCCGCCCGCCTCGGCCTCCCAGAGTGCTAGGATTACAGGCGTGAGCCACCGCGCCCAGCTTGTTTCTCTTTCTTAACACAGAGGTAAAATGTTTAAAACTTGTATTAAGAGGCTCTAAAAAGCACTTCCTTCTTGGTTTCTAATGGATCACTTTTAGAGACACCAAGTTCAAGAATACACATTTCTCAGAATTCTAGATTATGGCCATAGGTTCCCCCTTTTTTTTTTGGAGACAGAGTCTCACTCTGCCGAGCCAGCTCCTTGGCTAGAGTGTAGTGGTGTGATTATAGCTCATTGCAATCTCAAACTCCTGGGCTCAAGCGATCTTCCTGCCTTAGCCTCCCAAGTAGCTGGGACTACAGGCGCGCCACCATGCCCAGCTAATTTTTCTATTTTTTTTGTAGAGGCAGGGTCTCACTCTTGCTCAGGCTGGTCTCAAACTCCTAACCTCAAGCAATCCTCCTGCCTCGCCCTTCTAGTGTGTAAGCATTACAGGGACAAGCCACCACGCCTGGCTGGCCCATAGGTTCCTTTTTTTTAGGTCTGCCCTAAGTGTGTGGATGGGGGCTGTGAATTTAGGTAGTGGTCCAGGGAAATCCAAGTGTTGTCTCCCGGATAAACACGTAACATTTAAATGAGTGAGGCGATCACTTCTTTGGTTGTTGAGATTTGCTGTTTTCCTAGAGACAGAACATGTATCTTGAAATAACAAATTTAAAAAGATGGTATCTTGAGAAGGCAGTAATATCTAAGATGGGATGGATAGGAAAGGAGGGTCTAAGTTTTTAGAAAATGATCATCACAGGCATAGCTGGAACACAGGAATTGCCCATCATAAAACTTTCTCATGATCATGTTTCCTCTCAATAGATTGAAAGCAATTTCTTTCAATCTATTCAAAAGGCAGCTTTTCAACTCAAATTCCTAGAGGAAAAGGACTCATGAAATGGCTCCAGGAAAGATACTGTCATTCAGGTAAGCTCAGGAACCAGTTCTGAAAGAGGCTGTTTTGCTCCATTATCAGAAATACTGCCGACAGGGAAAGGATTCTAGGGAGAAAGGAGATTCTGCAGCCTCAGGGTACTCATGTACTCATTCTGAGGACTTCCTCACCTCGGCTGCCCATCTCAAAGCTCCTTCCCCATAAGAATGGTGTTCCCATAAGCTTAGTGTGCAACTCTCAAACAATTATGTGCATGCTGGAGTCTTTCAATCACGATATGCCTGTCAGGATAAACAAGAATCTGCCCAGGCCGGGTGCGGTGGCTCACGCCTGTAATCCTAGCTCTTTGGGAGGCCGAGGCGGGCGGATTGTTTGA